CACACACACACACACACACACACACACACACACACACACACACACACACACACAGGGTCCTGGGATAGTGGCCAGTTTATTCATTCTATCCTATCCTCTCACCACAGTTTGAAGGTGCAGACTCTGCTGTCTAATAAAGGCTTATGTTTTTTAGTCTGGGAAGTTTGATCTGAAACCTCTCATAGAAAAATTTAGGATATATGTGCAACAACAAAATATAGTCATATAAGGTTTATAGATTATATTAAAAAATAATAGTTCATTTCTGGAAAAGTTACCTTTATCTATATACTTATCATAAATAGCTACAAAATTATCTACCTATAAGGAGAGATTAAAAAAAATTTTATTGAAAAATAATTGACATGTAACATATTAGTTTCAGGTGTACAACATAATGATATATATAATGAGATGATCACCACAGTAAGGCTACTTAACATCCATCACCATACATAGTTAGAATTTTTTTTCTTCTGATTTGAAATTTTAAAATCTGCTCTCTTAAGAGCTTTCAAATACAGTAGTCCCCCTTTATCCATGGTCTCAGTTACCATCAGTCAACCACGATCCAAAAATATCAAATGGAAAATTCCAGAAATTAACAATTCATAAGTTTTAAATTGTCTGCTGTTCTGAGTAGTGTAATACAGCGTCATGCCAGCCCTCTCCATTCCACCCAGGATGTGAATCATCCCTTTGTCCAGCATATCTTCTGTATACTCTCCCCACCTGTTAGTCACTTAGTAGCAGTCTTGGTTATCAGATAGACGGTAGTGGTATCACAGTGCTTGTGTTCAAGTCACCCTTATTTTACTTAATAATGGCTCCAAAGCATGAGAGTAGTGATGCTGACAATTCGGATATGCCAAAAAGAAACTGTAAAGTGCTTGTTTTTTAGTGAAAAGGTGAAAGTTCTTGATTTCATAAGGAAATAAAAACAAATTATTTGCTGAGTTTACTAAGATCTATGGTAAGAAGGAATCTTTTATTGGTGACATTGTGAAGAATGGAAAAGATATCTGTGCTACTTTACTGAGAGACTACATTCACATAACTTTTATTATTAGTTACTGTTGTAAATCTCTTAGTGGGCCTAACTTATAAATTAAACTTTATCATACATATGTATGTATAGGAAAAAAACATAGTATATATAGCATTTAGTAATATCCATGGTTCAGGCATCCACTGGGGGTCTTAGACCTTATCTTCTATGAATAAGGACAGACTCCTGAATACAAAAGAGTATTGTTAATTATTATCATCCTGCTGTATTACATCCCAAGATGTTTATTTTATAATGCAAATTTGTACTTTTTTGACCATCTTCATCCATAAACAAGAAGGGATTTCTTGTTCAGCATTACCTAGTAATATTGAGTACCATTAATTCAATAAGTTGACATCAATGCCCAACTTTCTAGCTTTGTTTTAATCCACTTAAGGTGTGCATGAAAGCTGAGAGTTGTCAGTACTGAGAAATGCCAGGTGGCTGAGCAGGCAAGTAAGAACTGTGGCAATGTCTCCTTCACTACAGGGCAACGTTCCAACTCGGGAAAGCATCCACATGTACTATCAGAACCACATCATGAACCTTTCCAGAGAGTCTGGACTGGATGCAATTGACGACCGTCCTGGTGCTTCTTCAGGTGCACAGGCAGCCCACAGGATGGATAGCTTAGATTCGCATGACAGTATCTCCAGGTATTTTATGTTCTACACAATGGGTTTGCTTTTGAAAAAGGTAAAAGAGGTTGACTTCATCAATTTGAGAAATGAATGTCTGAGGTGAAAGTTAATCAAAACTTACATGGATCCCCACCCTCTTCAGGCTATCTCCATATGTACAACAAAGAAAAAGAAATGTTGTCCTTCCTAGACAGATAAAATCAGGTATCAATGAAAAACTTTTAGAAACACATGTATGATTCATAGGCACAGGATAGAGATTTCCAAGCTGGATGCAAGTAAGACTGAATCTTCCCAATGACAAAATTACTATTTGTGTCAAGGGCTGCATCTTTAATTCCTTTTAAAAATGCCATTCCACAAAGTACCTTCTATATGAGAATCTCCTACCATTTGTTGCTATCTTTGATCTTTTCCTTTCAGAATTGTTACTTTATAATTCATACTTAAGGTTCAAGAAGTGATTCTGTCAACTTCCATCTTCCCTGAGTTTTATGATCATTTGCCATGGACCAGTACCAAGCATTGTGCATAGGTTACTTCACTTTATCCTTATAAGACCCTGGGAGATGCATACTATGAGGCGTGATCAAGCAATACAGTGAATTTTTAAATTAAAGAAATTATTACAGTAAAAGACACATTGCCATTAATCCCCCTCAAAATACTCCCCTTTGCTTTGAACACACATATCCCATCATTCTTGCCGCTTTCTGAAACAGTTCTGGAAGTCCTCTTTTGTGCGTGTCTTTATTCAGTTGCACTGTTGTGGCTTTCTTGATGTCCTGAATCATTTTGACTTTGGGGAAGAGCCAGAAGTCTCATGGTGCCAAATCTGGTGAAATAAAGTGGATGAGGACACACCGTAATGTTTTTATTTGACAGAAATTGCCATATACCAGAAGCAATGTGTGACAAGGAGTGTTGTCATGATAGAGGATGATTTGCAGCACACTTTAAAACACACCTTATTTCAACCTTTCCAGAGAGTCTGGACTGGACGCAGTTGGCAAGTGTCCTGGTGCTGCTTCAGGTGCACAGGCAGCCTGCAGGATGGATAGCTTAGATTCACATGATAATATCTCCAGGTATTTCATGTTCTAAACAATGGGTTTAGTCACTCACACCCTACTGACTGTACCGAATAAGTTGAAACTTGTCACACAGTGTTATTAAGGTTCAACGCTCCACTTCCTGTATTGAAGACCCCTGCCTTTTCGTTGGATGGCACTCAGCAGCAGCATTCACCATATTT